GATCTGAAAATATGTATATCTTATTCTTGGAAAAAATATACATCTTGTTACCTTTATTATGTAAAGACAACAATATGTATATTTCAAAGTATCAAAGATGCACATAATTCGATTCATACATGAAAATTTTTGAGGAAACAATTTCTGAATCGTGAAAGAGAAATAAGTATTCACAGAGATCTACAACTATACTACCCACTGCTGCAAATCCACTTAAAACAATGAATGTTTTATGATATTGCGGCACTAAGAAGATTCTTATATTGTCTGAAACTGCTCTCATTCAGAACTAATCTGAGATGAAGCGAACAACGAACCCCGAACTCGTACGCGAATCTGTCCCTACCACAACGCCTCCGTCGAATTCCATTGCAATCAGAGTAGTCTGCAGTTTGAATAAATGAAAAATAAGTGAAACTCAAATATCGATATTGGAACTTAAATTTTTAGTGACTTGAAAAGATATGGTAAAAATCAACTGAATCAGAAAATAACTTACACCAGTGCTGATTGCTTCATGTGGGTAATAACCAATTGCTGGAATTGCACTTCTTTTTTCTTGATACATTTCATCCATTTTGGCCGCAAAGAACTGGTTGGATGTAGTTGATCAAATCTTAAAAATATGACAGAATAGCTTAGTTGGAGAACAGCTTATTGACATCAGTGATTAATCCATTATCCCGATTAACTCTTTCACAATAAAAACGCAAAATTTTTGGCACTTCACGTGCTGAACGATAAAAATGTTGCTCCATATAGGAGACTGTGCTCTTTAAGCACGCTTTTTTTACGAAACAACTTCGAAAAAACCAAACAACAATCAACTCAAAACGTAAACATCATGAAAATAATTTGAGAAGAGTGAAATCGAATCAAAACATTTTCTTCCAAAAATGTTTACAAAGCGATTCGTGTCGGACCGCAATAGTCATCATTTTTACAAAGTTCATAATTGGCAGCATTAGCGCTCCACTCCTTAGTGATTCCTTTGAAAAATCTGCTGTTTAAAGGAATTTTGCGCCCGAAGCATTCGTTACGTTCATTCGTATAAGCAAGCTGGCATATTTGGAGGTGGCATCAGTTAAGTAAGTCATCGTCGGGGCCTTATCGTTAAGATAGTTTAGGTGAGTGAAATCAAAACGGCATTTCGCTTGTTTGCATTTGCAATCTAGTGATTCTGTATGCTCAAGAGGTTGTGAATATTACCAGACCAGACTGAACAATCAGTTTTGAGCTGACTGATCGTTGGCAGTTGATAAGAGTATCTCAAAGTACTTGTTGAGGTGTTGAAATAATTTGATGGGATCAAAAATTTAATTTGAGTCAGTCAAACTGATGAACGAGAAAATGAGAAAGTGGATGAGGAAATGTACAGATGCTCTAATTCCGTTCTGATTNTTTTTTTTCAAGGGTTTAAAAGTTCCATTTGCTTGACCAGTGTCTCTCTCACTACCAGATTTTTAAGATATAAAACATTGTGGAAAATTGTGCTGACTTTCAAATAGGCGTTTTATGATAAGTGAAGTGAAGGAGACTGACTCTACGAATGAAGTAGAATTCGATTTGCATGTTTTCTGGTGTGTCACTTTTAACGATTTATCTATTGCTGGGTTTAACTGTTGGCTGCAGTGTGTGTTATCGTTAAATTTGAAAACTCTTCAGTTGAATACGTCGTCCAATACATATCGTATATTAGCCCACATTGATCCTTCGAAGATTCGTTCGTTTGAAATGATTAAGCACTTTGAGGATCATCACCCAGGGCTGCCGCGCCGCTCGCCACTTTTCTCTACTTCTCAGTTGTTCCGAGTTGTACGTACAATTTTAAAGAAGCGCTTAGAAGTTTTGGGTTGATTGACGGACGTGTTTTTCGTTTTCGTAAAATTTATGAGTTGGCAAACTTTTGCAGGTGACTTAGTATATGCATATTTCATTGAATTTTGTGCAAATCTTGTAGTTCTATAGCTGCAAGTAATAGATGAAACGGTATATGAATATATGCAAATGTTTATTTTTGTTTCTGTTTTTTGTGCTTACGTTTGCAGAACAATGCAAATGAAGTGAATGTTTCTAGTGCTTTATCCATTGCACAAACCGTTAGGTGTTTTGTGTGGTGGCGATTTTCGTTTGGTTAGTGGTAAAACTTGCCTAGAAATTCGTCTTTTGTTGTATTCTCGCAATTTGTTTGATATTTTTCAATCGTTTGAATGAGAATGCTGTTGCTTCAAAAAGAATTTCACATCGGATTCAAATAATTTACTGAGTTTTGATAAGTTACGATCTTCGACAAAATTTGAAGTTCCATGAATTGTTTTAATTCATCTCCAATAACTTATTTCAAGTTCATATTTCGCAATGACTTCCATCTTTCATCAGGGATGCGTGTAATAGTTTGGATGTTTGAACTGACAAGGATGAAATTTAAGTCGTGTTAAACTGAAATCTCGTTGATGTGATTAATGCGATTGTAGAAGTGACGAAGAGTTTGTTGCATTGATTCGATGATGATTTTTAGGAGTTTGTGGTGTGAAGTGCGTTGAGTTGTGGTGTGTTGTGAGTTGAGTTGTGGTGGGAGTCGTTGTTGTGTTCCGGAGAAGTAGTATTCAAGAAGAAGTCAACGTAGCGGTCAAAATGAGTAACAACGGTGGAGAAGACGAATGCTACAGATGCCATGAGAGAGGCCATTTTGCTCGTAATTGCCCAAATCAAGAGTCTGGCGGAGGTGGCGGCGGTGGTCGTCGCGGTGGCGGTAGTGGCGGTGGAAACGGTAGCGGTAATGACATTCTCTTTTTTTTATCATTCCTTGCTTTTTGCTTTTTTTTCCTCCCACAGTCGTTATCTGAGGATTGAAAATATCTTCTGAAGTTTAAAACAGTCGAGATTATCCGATGAAATGTAATATTCAAATCGGTTTTATCTTTTTCGAGTCCTCAAGTTTTGAAAGGAATGTAATGTGTTGATGCTGCTGCTTTCATGTGCTAGGAGGGAAGGGTTGCTAGATAGACTTGCCGAGGGAAGGCTTATCCCCTTAAGTCTTCAAAAAAGCGGGATTTGCTTTTGGGTAAATAAGTGACGTGAACTAGTTAGCCATCCACCTTCCAGTTGCATTCACCCGTTGTTTGCGTAAAGTTGTGGCTGAGGTATGGTAAGTGAGATGAGTTGTCAAGAGGGTATGTTTTAGCACGCACACACAATGAATATGAATATTATGCTTGTGAATGTGCAGTGCAATAATATGGTGGATTTAGATTGCTACAACTGTGGAAAACCTGGTCATTTTGCTCGTGAGTGTCCATCGAGTCGCGGAGGCGGTGGTAGAGGAGGCGGAGGAGGTCGTTATGAAGGCGGCGGTCGTGGTGGTGGTCGTGGGGGTCAAAGTGAGTGCTATCAGTGTGGAGGTTTGTCAGTGCCTCTTTTCAACTTTTTTCTTTACTGGTTTTGATTATTTTGTATGTGGTAAAGGATTTTTATGATGATAAAAGAAGAAGATAATCTGTGTTGTGATCGCGCTCAGATTAGACGGTCGATTAGAAATAAATTCACTAGTATGAATATTGTAGTATGTTCGCAAAAAGATGTGAATGATTTGTCAGATAATTTCGCCAATTAACATTGAGCATTTGACGATTTTGCACTTAATGATGAAATGAAATTATCTGGATTGGTTGTGCATGGGTGAAGTCAATAATGGTTCATATTTGAGGTTTTGGACATTTTGCACGCGAATGCCCAACGGATCGCCGTGGCGGTGGACAAAAATGTTACAACTGTGGCAAATTTGGCCATATCTCACGTGATTGCACCGAGTCGGGTGCAGAGCAAAAGCGTTGCTACAACTGTCACAATCTTGGGCACATTTCGCGTGATTGCCCAGACGAGAGGGTAGGAGGTCGCAGTGATTGAATTGCTTAAGATCAAGGAAGATGGTTTGGCATATTTTCGGAGCTGAGGGATGATATAAATGTGGTGTGGTTATGATATGATAACAAATGATGTGGTATGGCTTTGATAGTGGTGTGTGATGACGTGCATAGATAATAAATGATACACACACTTGACGATTTGTTTCATTTCGAAGTGAGTGTTGTTGATTTTGGCTCTTAGCACACGGGTTGTTTGTTGCGTTGGATTGATTGCTGCTGCTGCTTGATGTTTGTCGTTAGTTTCATTTGATCAGATCAGATCTCTGATGGTGTATGTCTAATTGTTGTTGTTATTGTTCCTTATTGCTCTAAATCATATTCATTGATTTTAATATGTCTACGTCGTCTTTTTGACACATTATTCTTGATCACTTGTTCTTTTTTGCTCTTTTTTTTTCACTCCTTGAGGTTTGAGTTATCCATCCATCCATCCGTATAGCGCTCTCTTTAAAATAGCGGATAAATTTGGTAAGCTCATTCACTGGTTCACCTGGGGAAGCAGTCTAATGTGAGTGTGACTGATCACTATTGATTACGTAAGTGTTATGTCGTTACTGCGACTCGTTGATCACAGAAGAAGTTTGCATCCGATAGATCAAATGAGATAGAAAAGGGATCATAGGACATTTGTCATTGTTTTTTTGCTGTTAAATTCCTGGTTCATTGTTTTTGCCATTTCATTCTACTAAGTTATGCGTTTCTTTTTTGTACTTCAACTTATGATTTTGCGTGAAGTAGGTATCCATCCCTGTTGTTGACCATTTTGACTTTCAGATCCCACATACACACCTCACTCCTCACAGTTTTGTACTCTTCTTCATCTTGATTGTGCCACGCATTGTATTGTATTTGAGCATACTTCACCGTATCGTTTTACATTGCATTTGCGCTGGTGCTCCATTTGTTGTTTCGACTCCTCTTGCATTCTTGTTTGTTTGTTTTTATTAAGGAAATTCTCGCATGATCATTCAGATTTTATTCCCGATGGTTAATTGTTTTGTTGTTCTCTAATAAATAATTTGTCCGTCGTTCACTGCACTCATTCATTAAATTATCATTTATTTTTACTATTGTTATTGCATTCGTTTTTCTTTCTTGATTGATTGATTGATTGATTGCAATTTGATTCCATTTCATTTGTTGCTTTTGTCCACTTCTGAACAAAACACGCAGTTGGTTGAATATTGTTGCAGTGTGGAACAATCAAAAGGAACGAAACACTCGAAGCTTTTGACCACAACGTGAGGAGGGATTTTAGAGTTTTAATTTGTTATGAAACTCACTGAACGATAAAAATTTTTGTTTAAGAGCTTTGTTGCTTGATGTTTCCCGTGATGTCCAGAAAGTTGTATGTTCGAAAGGTCGTTATGTTCTTGGCTTATACATTCTGTCTTAATGGTTTCAGAAGTGTGATGTAACGATTATGTCTTCTATGATGATAAAAGTGATGGTTCATTGTGAACCACTTAAAGTTCTAAGAAATTCAGTCTTAAATGATATAAAATATATTGTTATTATTATTATGGATATGTTCCTTGAGTATTAAATGTTTGGTGGTAAGAGGATTTGAGAATAAAATTAATGGTCGAATACAATCGTTGTTTTGTCGTTGTTGTTTGAAGCATCCGATATTTCTTCAATCATCCAAACAAATATTCAATAAAGAAAACTGATCGAATCATACCGTATTATGAGTTCAAACATAAACTGTGCATTTGGATATTGATCTATCTAAAACAAAGCTGAGAATGTGAATATTCAGTCGTTTTAATGACAAGATTTTATCAAGATAATCAGATTACTAAGATAAGAAGTTATCATTGACAAGATAATCAGATTTAAACAGTATTGCTTAAAAAGAGCGAATAGTTTAGCATTTGAACACTAACACTTACAATTAAGTTATAAGACTTGAGGTTCTTGATGCTTCGTATTCTTTTCAGTATGCATTCATAATTTGACAAGCAAATAATCATCTTATCAGGAGATTGATTGGACAAAGCCAAATTCAAACTCGTGTAACAAAAGAGATGGATGAAAAAAGATCACAAAAGACTCAATCGAAAACTGAAACTACTAGCGAGAGCGATTCTACAATGGTACAACAACAACAGTCATACTCGTCGAATTGGAAAGCATTGAAAAAGGTTCATCTGATTCAATCTGATCTGGAAAATTCATCTGATTCTGTCTGTTGGTTTGCAGAACAAAAATGAGACAGTTTTTTCTTGGGAAAACAAATTATCTTATTAAGAGATTTAGGGAATGAGAAATTAATCATTCCGATGTTTGGAGCACCGTTTCAAGGATAGATTCATTTTCGAGATACGCCAGTCGAACTTATGAAGTTGAATTTCATAGCCATATGTGCATATTGACAATTGAAAAGGTGTGAAAAGATGTAAATTTAT